ATTAGCATAGATATAAACAAAGACTAAATAATTAACAAATTTCATATATTTAAATTTGTATTATTAAGGTCCAGAAAAGCCTTGAAACATATTAAATTTCGCTACTTTTATCCTGATTCAATAAAGTAGACGCCAACAATAAGGAAGGCGCTTGGGATTAATTAATCATTGCCACTCGGCTCAACAAAATTCAATAGTCGACATCACGCCGACGGGAACTTAGACAAGTCGATTATTTTCGAAAGTCATCTACCTAATTATACTAACTTAGCGACTAGTCTTGAGGACTTTAAAAATCTTTAAATTAGACTCTTGTTCTGTACAAAAATCTTATTAAAAATATTTCTATAGTTAATTAAGTTAACTTCCAACTCATTATTTTGCCTGAAATCTTTACTTCTATACTAATGTAATAAAGCGGTAAACATACACTACTTTGTGGCGTAGGATGTCAGAAATCATTGCATATATTGAATAATTCTCTCTCTCAAAAAAAAAAGCTCTACAGTTATGACATGTTTTATACTATATGTTTTTACGCTATTAAACTTAGGGCTAAATAAATTGGAAAAAACATTAATGTGGGAAAGGAACCATAAACTACGAGCTGCCAACATTAAGGAAGCAAGGTTATTATGGTAATGGTAATTTTGATATTTGAAATTGAGATTTTGACAAATGCAAACAATAAAATATAGTTTTTATAATTTCATGCAGATGAAGCCGCACGGGATAATGTCTGTGACATTTAAAAACAATTATTTAAACTCTAGCTTACGCCCGCGACTCCGTCCGCGTGGGATTTAAAAAAACGTAAGTAAGTAGCCTATGTGTCCTTTCAGACTATCCTCTAAGTCTAAACCAAATTTTATCAAGATCCGTTCAGCCGTTTAGGCTACAAACTCTTACAAACATCCATCCATCCATCTAAACTTTTGCATTTATAATATTAGTAATAATAAGATTATATGTATTTAAAAATTAAAATGTCGTCTCATTTTTTATACGAAAATGCCACGTTAAATACGTAAACATGTAAGCTATAGATGTTTTACAATTTAATAGCTTGAATAATAGATTTTATCGCGATACGAGCTATCGTTAGTTCATGCATGCGAGCTATAAAGGTGAATTTATTATGCACTTTCGATACAACGAAGCTGTAACGATTTCTGCACCCAACTAAAAGTATTCAGTGAAAAAAGAATTTATTTACACTCTATATAAACTTACATAGGAACACAACGATACATTTCAATATAATTTATAACACGGCTAAAACTCACGTGGGAACTTTTTGTGGAGGCACCGACCAGTTTCCAACCCGTAGGGGGTCCTTCTTCAGGGTGAGTGGTTGCGGTAGTGGTAGCGAATAAAGCCGTGTTATAAATCATATGACTTTAAAACATTTAAAACATGATGTAAATGACGACAGATGGATCGATCTCTGCTGGTTTCACTATCAGGATTCGAAATGAATATGGTAAATTGATCTCATCACATTTATACCAAGCTCTTTGTTACTTTTAGTACAATTTCATCGTATTAAATTTTCCAGAAGATTCCTGACGATGTTCTTGCTATCAAAATTGGACTCAATATTTAAAATGCATACAATCTTTAAGTGATATAAGTTTTTCAATACATAGATAGAAATTTAACAACCTTGTTAATATGAAGAATGTTGTAATATAATAATTCACATTGAGACGAAGACGTATAGACTACGTAACCCTTATCAAAAAGATGTACAGCAATTTGTCCCGTGAGGGAAAGTAATAATATAGAATGTTGAAAATATTGCTTATATGATAAATAATCTACATATAAAATTCAACTTAAAATGATAATATTAACATATACACGTGATGTCCAAATAAATCGCAACAAAACAAGTTTTTGCGATTGTTCAATCTTATAGTTTTGTACATAAAAATACATAATTGTACAAATTAGAAAAATACTTACCTGTCTCTATAGAAGCTACAGCCCATTTCTATTTCTTACGGCTTTACTCGCATCACTATATTCTGAACTGTTCTGGAATGTTCTGGAGTATTAATCAAAATGTCTCTAACCTATGCAGTTCACTTTTTATATTGTACACTTTGTATATTTGACATTAATATCACCACAGACAAAACTTAATTCAACACTCAAGTATTTATTTTATAAATATAGCACGATCTAGTTTTGTTTCGTTTAATTTTATTTAATGTTTTCAACATTTCTAGACTACGTTCAGGGCTGACGTTTCAATGTCAAAATCGCTAAAGAAGTATTCCAATTTTGATTCGTGAGTGAAAAAACAAAAGACGGTTTAAAACTTTAATATTTGCTAACGAAGATGACAACAAAAAAACAAAAGAGTATCGTATTTTTTCCGTCCGCCATTTTTAAAACGTTGTAAATATTCTTTTGTTTTTTATTTCCATTCCACTAGATATGTCAATTGTCTCTGTATCGTACGTTCGCGAGAAGCGATTTGTTTCTCTATTATTGGTGGGTATCTAGAGAACTGTCGACTGTGCAACTCTAACAATGATATCGCTGCTACTTGTTTTCTTGCTTTCTTTTCCAAGTGAGTATTTGAAATGATCTGTTATTATTTTATCATTATTACTAGAACAGGTTTCACATACTAACCAGAGTATAACATTTTTATATATTGTTTTTTCTAACCTATCTAATTATCTAACGTCTTATATTACTAAGAGTTGGTAATATCTTGACATTTAATAAATCTAATTATTGTACGGTTTTCAATATGTTATTCTCTTTTCATATTATATTTTCTATGTATTAAAAAAAAGTGTTTTATGTCCATACATTAGTTATAAAGGAACTCTTCTAGAATACCATCAATGCAATTTTAAACTGTCTTATAAACTCTGTACACGGGTTGCCTTGTTAGCCAACCGCCGTGAACTTTAAGAATTTTATTTGAATATGTTTTTGATAAAAAATGGTACGTGTGTTGGTCATAAAGATGATTGTTGTAATTCTTGTCAAAAAGTGTTTAGAAACATGACAATAGTAGAGGTTATAAAATTATGAATTACTTATCTTAGGGCCTGTCCCACCACTGGCTGATTGGAATCAGCCCTCATACCTCTCAGAGGCTCTGCTCAGATAGCTTAAAAATGACGTAACAGTCGGATAAGGGAACATTTTCCGATATTTACATCAATTATTTTACACATAGGAATGTTATCAGACAATTTACAATTTGGTGAGACAGGCCCTTATTATTTCATTCTTGTTTATTACATAAATGTGCTTTTTATCATGTGTTTGCATTTAATACAAACAAAATTACATTAAAGAATGATTGCGTTGAAATGGATGCCATTAATTCATCCCAACAAACAGTCCAATTCCAAACGAGCGTAATGTATTTTGCGGCAAATTGTCGGCAAATATCTTGAGAACTGAAACAGATGCTACCCAAATCTCACCACTCCCTAATACGCGTTTCAGATTTATCATTGCTTATCAACCTATTACAGCTCCCGCAGACTGCAGACTTTTTATCAGCCGATAGTTATGTCGCTTATGGCCGGTATCCCAGTGAGGAAATGCGTTTATGAAATGCGTTTCCTAACTACGTAACTTGTGTTATATTCTGTTGAGAAATAGGTAAGCGGAACACTAGTGAATCACTAGGTAATCATTAGGTTATGATAAAATAAATGGGAACTTCTGCATTAATGCTGGGTTAATCAGTATAAGCTTGAATGGAGGCACGTAGTCTGCAGTATGCAAGGGTTCTTATTGTTACTGTAATTCGTCTATTTACAGAAATTAAGAACTGACGTTTATTGCCTCATGCAGAATCAATAAGCGATTATAGAAGTCCTTAATTGTAGATATGATTTACTAAATCTAGACCAGAGATATCCTCTTGGAGTAAACTATCGCACGTCTATTTAGTCTAGCTTTGACTCCTATGAACTTAAATGGAGGAGCGCACAGTACACGATTTTTATTTGTGCAACTTAACCGTAGAATTGGCTGCGAAACAATCGACAATCGCAAAACAGTGGTGAGGTAATTTAGTTAAGTCTCTGAGTATATGGCACTTAACTGATTTATATGTGATTTTGCTTTCTTCCACTATTCACAAAAAATAAATAGTTAGTCATTTGCATAAATGTTAATTACTTAGTAAAAAAGGTAGGAAAAACTGAAAGCAATTGTACAATGGTAATCCCAAATTTCTGAACAACGTTGGTTTAAAAACGTGCAATTCGTGCTTCAAGAATAGCAATTTGAATACGGTCTATAATCAGAGCCGTGCACTAAAAAAATCGCAGATCCTTTGATTGTGTTTACAGAGAAAATCGACAAAGGCTCTCCTCAAACAGAATTCGGTATTCAGAGCACTCGAAGGGAAATACAATAATTGGAACGTGTCCATACGATTTGTCGCACTGCAGCTTCACTTCGAAGCTTTTCAATATTCTTTCTTCAGTTCACGTACATTCTGACAATAATATTTGCATTGGTCATTTCGTGCACTGTTTAAAGCACGATTTGCAGAGATTCTAAAGTTTTCACCCCGCATAAGTTTCTGCAATTTGAACTTTGAACCAATAACCTGAAGACTTTGTTTTATTTAAACTTGGTAGACGGAAAAAAGTATGGATGGGTCATGTGAAAGGATATGCGTAAGGAATGAATATCTAATGCTTAATAGAGTTGTATGGAAGAAGAGTAGGTACAATTCAGAAACCTAGTGGTTTCCCATCTTATATGCTAAACATTTTGAACGTTTGTACGCATTGATGCGAAACATTAATCAATGAGATGCATAGGATATGTTTTAAGAAAAAGATCTGTCAATAGAACATGGCTAATTGCTTTTGGTTGGTACCGTCGTTTACAGAACACACTGCAATCTAATTGATAAAGAGGCGGAATTTCGGTTATCCGCGACTGTACTTCAGTTCGGGAGATAACGCTGATCAAAAATGTTAACTCGATTGTTTCTTTCACAGTGGGTTCTCAGTAGTGGCACCCGAGGTAGCAGTGCCGGGTAAGACGACCGCAGTACTGGTCACTCTGCATGGCAATGAAGATACCGTGGACCCATTGAATGTGACCGTGCGACTAGAAACGCAAGACGCACAGAATGATGTCAAACTACTAACTACTGCTAGTCAAATGATCATCGGTGAGTAGATTTTAAAATTATTCATATATTAGTAGAAGACAATGTGATTAAGGTACTATTTAAATTGAATAATATCATAGTCTGAGAACATAACTTTTTAATTAGTTATAACTTTTATTGTTAATTATTAGTCTGTTTTCAATAAATTTCAATTTCAATTTCAATTTCAATAAATGATATAGTAATTGTTTCGTTTACAATGTCTTACTTCAGTAAAATTATATATCCAATTGGAAATCGATTTTTTAAACTACATATGATTACAGTAAGGGTCTGAATCTATATAATTTTACAACGCGTCCGCGAATCACAAAGACATTAGCGACGTCTAAGAAACTTTATCCATTTCAGTATTCATTCCCCGTAAGCAGTACTCGAAAAGTTTTATTGGGGTTTCGTAATACCAACAAAGGTAAACTTCGCGAAATCAACGTTCGCGTACTTAGTAGTTCGACCTATTTAATTTAAGGATAACCGTACCACATCGGAAATGATTTATAAATCAATTCGTCAAAGTAATTTGAAGTTATGCTTCAATCGATGTCGAATTTCGAAGTTATTGGAACAAACAAATTAATTCTAAATGAGTTATATTTATGTTTTAGCTCTACGTATAATACTAGCTTTCGCCCGCGACTCCATCCCATGGAATTATAAAACAAATTAGTAGCCTATGTGATCTTTCAGATTATCTTCTACACCCATGCCATCATCGAAATCTGTTTACCACATTAGCAGCAACAAACATCCATCTAGGCAAACTTTTGCATGTATAATATCTGTAGGTTTTATAATTCCTTTAATAAATGATCAAAATCTTAAAATTACTTAACCGTTTTTTTGTCTTTTTCCATAATACTTTTTATGTTGCCAACTACAATAACAATTTAAGATGATTTATGTCGTAGCAATTAAATTCGACAGTATTGCACGCTTGGGTACAATTTTACGACTGGTAACAATACTCCCATAAATTTCATATCTCGTCTAAATTTTTTTGTATTCAATAATTTTTTAATGCATTTGAAGTATGAAGCAGATAAAAAAACCTCCTTCAGATCGTGCACACCTGTAACTAAACTATCGCATAACTGTTTTGTCGCGCTTTGATTCGCGCTTATTTGTAGGTGCGAACACTATTCGATTTTTAATTGTGCAACTAAACAGTTGAATTGGCTGCGAAACAATCGACAATCGCACAACAGTTGTGCGATAGTTTAGTCAAAGGTGTGCGCCTGCTTAAAGCTAATATTATTCAAATTATCATTGTCAATTATACTATTGTAAAAAAATGTATTCAGACTTCTTTTCTTAAAGTAAAGTAGGTGTTAAAATTGCCGAGAAGGCGCAGCGCGGCAATGCGCAGTTGACACTGGGCGCTCGGTTCGTTAGCCGCGTGCTGCAAATCGGATTTCCTTGAGATGGAATTAGTAATCACTTTCAGCCATTACCTCCCCGCCTTTTTGAATCTCGAGATATTGGAAATGGATTTGATTAGACTGGATATCGTATCAATTTATTTCATTTATATAAATGAACGACTTAACGATTTAAAAGTAGTTTATATGTTCCTGAACGTATAATGTTTATTTCAAACCGTAGAATACTTTGTAGATATTGAAGCGGCATCGAACGCGTAGTTAATGAAAAATAAATTTGACATAGCCTACATGATATCCTTTACATTTAATATGAACTGCGCCAAGATGAATAAAAGCTAGTTAAATTTGTAAGTTACTTTTAAAATCGTCTTTTAAACTACAATAAACTGTTGCTCGCGACTTCGCCCGCGTGAAATTAAAAAGTTATAAAAAACATAGCCTATATTACTGACTGATAACGTAGCTTTCTAATGGTTAAAGAATTTTAAAAATCGGCCCAGTAGTTTTTGAGTTATTTCGATACATACAAAAAAAATCTTTCCTCTTTATAATATTAGTATAGATAATAAAATAATGTTATAATATTCAATAGGCACAAATGTAAGTCACAATAATCCTAATCATAATATGCTAGTATACGACTTGAAAGAATAAAAAGAAACAGACAGCTCGAGTAACGATCCAACATGAGTAAGTGAACAAATCAAGAGCAAACTTCCGTTACTTAATACATTGGCTGTCCACTGCGAGCGTTTGTCCGCTTCAAGGAACTGTCGGAAGAGCATCCGTCTCGGCAATGCGACACGAGACGCTTTTTGCTTTTTGTGCCTTTGATGTTGCCTTAACGAACCATCCACTGGTATTCCTTTTTATTTATACTAGCTGGTGCTCCCGACTTCGTCCGCGTGAAATTAAAATATAATATAAAATATAACCTATGTCACTCACTGATAATGTAACATTTAAATGGTGAAAGAATTTTTTAAATCGGTTTAGTAGGTTTTACGTTATTTCAGTTTATACATACAAATCCCAATTATTTCGTCTTTATAGCATTACTATTGATTTGCCACATTTTCATATGTGTTATTTTTTCATATTTGTAGTTTCGATGTGTAGATTACATTTTATCTTTTCTTTCGCTACACAAAAATAACTGATTTAATCGTATATTACAAATGAGAAGGTTTAGATAGATGTTTGTTAGAGTTTGTAGCCTTACTTGTGGAACAGATCTCGATGAAAAAAGATAGAACATAGTCTGGAACAACACATAGACTATTTCCTTTTTTTACGCCGACGGAGTCGTTGTCGAAATCTAGTAAACAATAATCGTCTACCTTTTTAAAAACTTTGTACACTGATTTTAGTTTTATTTTACTGTTAAAATGCACGTATCCGTATAATATTCCTTTAAAGTTATTGCTTATCTGTCTTGCATTATGTATGTATCTGCATCAATTCACAGAATCGTTACCCGAGTACTCGATAAATCAAAGTGTTAATAGTACAAAGCGATTGGCAATACCAAACGGCTTAATGAAGCTTGATTGTTGCCCGTATAGGAAACTGTTTCGCAACCCTCTTTTTAGTTGCTACATTATCTCATTCTCTTTCTCCTTCATTAAGCCATGATTGGGTAAATAATAAGGTTAAAACTCTTCAAGGAGTTTCTATGCTTAATTTAAGGCGGAATTTCATTAATCTATAACTCGCTAAAGAAAATAATCAGTCGATGTAAATCAAGCGTTGTACGGGAATCCAGTCGCCCACGTGGACTCCTTCTTATGGAAACGGTTCTTGTATGCGGGCGCTATAACATGAGGGAACAGGAAACCGAGTTATCAACTTAGGGAATGAACCAGGGGCGTTAATATCTCGAAGGTATTACTAATTCCGACCACAGCCTTTAAATCGCGATTGCAGATTCGATATCGACAAGCTAAATACTAAATCGATTAGTTCTTCGCGTTACAGTTTGCTGCAAGTTCCTAAGCGGGTAGTGA